TGAATTCAAACTTTTGCGTATGCATTCAAACTTTTGTTTTAAGTATACATGTAATGAATGAAACTATATAGATTGTTTTATTGATATGTTAGATTATTTTAGATTGTAGCTCGTAATAAGCCTCGTTACATTTTAATTTTTAACATTAACGAGCGTGATTAATAAAAAAAAATAATAATTTGTTATAATCCTATAATTCAGGATCTTGTTCGTCGTTTATGTCTCCTTATTCAGGTTGTCCTTGGAGGTATCGGGTTCCGCTCCCGGTTAATCCTATAGTTTGTTGTGGATCGTCTTCAGGAAACTGCTTCCTCTCCGCTAGAGTAATTCTAGGTATTTTCTGCAATGTGTACGGGTTTTTATAATTATTGACGTTTTGGTGAAAATTCACACGGTTGCAAGGTTAGGTTGTAACCGAATTTTTGGTCTATTATTGATAAAGGTCGCGTTTAAACCTCTAATTCTAATTATTTCGAATAAATGTCGCCATAAGGGACTTACTTATACGGTCGCCACTCTGTTTCTACAAAACAGAGAAAATGGATTTTCTGGAAATTATTCCATCGTCCAGCGCTTGTAGTGAGAAGGTTGTCCTATTGGCTTCCTTCCTTCCTTCACTTTGATTGGCTGCTTGGCATGGAACTACTCGTCGTGGATGGTGTAGTGTGTGGTCGCGTAATATCTCAGTTTAATGATGAATGGTTGTTGCGGAAATAATTAATTCGGCACTTTGGTAAACACAGTATAAACTTTATTCATAAAAGTAACATTAAAACTCAAAGGTCATAAACTCATTCATCTATCTCACTCGCGCTCGCATTCACACTTCCCGACGCTATTCCTATCTCACTTCTACTTCTGATCACGTGATACGTCGCCTCGCGTCTCACTAATGGCGGTTGCACAAGATGACAGCCTTCACAATGTGGCGTGATGTTGCATCATCCACTGCGCACAAAAGCTTACGAGTATAAAAACTCGATTTTCTCGCGTTAATTACGCGTAATGGTTTCACAGGATGAATATTTATTCGTTTTATAAACGATCGACGGCGACTTATGGTCGTTTTCCGCGTTTTCGCAGTTATCTCGGATTTTTCCGGAATTTTGCGTTAATTCGCACGTTTCGCGCTTCGCGATCACTTCTGCGTACGAAACCGACGTGGTGTATCTCGCGACACCTTGTTTTACGCGGTTTTACTCGATTACGCAATATATTTGAGTCACGGGTTGTCTGAACGTCCGTCCCGTTCGGCTGCTCAAGTACGACTGACTGCCAAGATGGCTGTCTCTACTGCCAAGATGGCCAAGAAGAACTGGTGTGTACAAGTTCCCTCGGTCGGTTCGGTATCCCCGAATTATAGTTACTTTCTAGTTCATTCATTCATACGGCCTTACATACGTAAAATTAGCCTAAATAATTATAAAATAATGTGCTATGTATGAAATAATTGTTTTTAATCCTTTTTATCAGTTTTTTATCAAAATATAAGTTCTTGATATGTGAGGTCATTCTGATTGGTCCGCAGACTTATCCAATTCGGGCAATTTATTTTTAACTCGTATTTAATTACTTTTAATGCACAAATAATTCTATTTACCTTTACTATTACTGAAATAATTATTGAATTCTCTCAGATCTCAGGATTTTTTCTCAAAATATCAATTTACGACTTGCAATCGATTCTAATAACTCGTGTATGTCTGAAATAATGTGTAATAATTTTACGATGACTCGACTTTGTTGAATTAATTTCAAAAATGACTTTTCTTCTCTAAATAATTATGAGAAACTCTAAAACTTAAGAAATTCGCAAATTGAGCTTTTGATTGCGCGTATCTTATCTAACGCTTCTAAATATTAACTTCGACCAATCGGATTGCTCTTAACAGCCTCCTACATAACTTTCTCTTGGTAATACAAATTAATTATTGGCTTTTCGCCCTTGACTCTATTTTCACCATATTATGGTATTTATCTTCCAATTGCTCGAGTTTGTCAATACAACATAAAATTAATTAATACGCGATATGCGTAACTTCTCTAACGTGAAATAATTATTGTTTTTGAAATTAAATGATCTTTTTGTAATTCTGTAATTTCTTACCTTTCTATATCTAATTAATTGTGTTTTCTTTTCAGGGTCACCAATCTATTCTCAGTGCTTTATTCTATGGTAAGCATTATTTATTTCTCGCCCTTTCGGCTATTTTGTATTTAATTATGTTTGTTCTAACCTTGTAGTATTTATTTTAATTAACTGTTTTCTTTTTCAGATTGCCTCACTGGAATAAGATTGGATTGCTGCTTCTAGGATATCTAGGTGGGTTGAGTAAATTTTCTCATTAATTTAATATATTCTTTTTTCCCTTTTCAGGTTCTCATTGTTATCATATTTTATTAAAATTGTCAATTAAATCATATATTTTATTAATATACTTCATAAAATTATAAAAATAATTAATTTTGGCTTTGCCCAAAGAAAAGATAACGAAATAATATTACTTTCACCTTAGTTACGACGAGACCTTTTACATATAAAATAATAAAAATCTTAACATAACTGGAACTATAATAATTAATTCTGCTTCTGGGCTGACTGTCCCGGCTCGTCGATTGGTTGTTTTTCCGAGTATGCCTCTTTTAGATGACCAGGTTCTGCTACTGGCTGGTCGTTCCTTTCGGTGGTCTGATCCTCCGAAGGTTTTTTCCTTGTTGCTGGTGTCATCCTTGGTATTGCTGTCTGCAAGTTTTGAGGTTAAGTGACGTGTGAGTAGGAAAATGCACTCGGTTGCAAGGTTAGGTTGTGACCGGAATAATGCCTCTATTCTTAAAAAATCTTGTTGTTATATTATTTTATTTAATTAATTTATTCAAAATCACCAAAGGTGACTTACTATTTTGGTCGTCACTCTGTTTATCCTCCAACAAAGAAGGAAGTCCTCTCGGTTGTCCCAAGGTATCGGCCTTTGTCTTATCGGAAGTCCCTGGTTGGTTGCCTTCCTTCCGTTCTTCGCGCGGATTGGTCGTTGAGCAGAGATGATCGTGTCTTCAGGTGATGTCTCG